CTGGCTGGAATTGCTGGTTAGAATACTGCATGTTGCTCAAGTTGAAATTCAGACTGTCCATGAGGGACTTCTCATTAAGGCCCCCATAGGCTGCAAACACATCGAAGGCATTATTGAAAGGGAGAGGGCTGAGATTGAGGGACGTTTCCCCGGGGAACATTGCACTTGGGCTGCCCTGCCCCTGGAGATTGGGGAACACGAACTCCTTGGCGTTCGGAGACAGGGCAGAGGGCTTCTGCGCTTGACCGCCCAAGCCGACGCCGTAGAGAGAATGCATCGATGTGGACATGACTTTCTGCTTCAGGAGGTTGTTTACATTCAGGCCCAGGTTGGTGGGGGAGTTTCGGGCCACCTTGTTGGCATTCCGCCCGTTGCTTTTCATTTTCGTGGAGCCGAACTTGGTGGCTGCGAAGGTGGCAGTGGTAAAGGTTAATGGTTGCGTGGAACGGCGCATGAAGGTGGGGCTGACCGCCGCCGACTGGCCGAACGGCGGGGACGGGGAACTGGAGGTTGGGGACATGCCTACAGGCTCACTAATGGGCATGAAGACCTGGGCCTCTGGGTTAAAGCTGTTCTTGATCTCCTTGTCCAACTCCAGTCCGTTCTCATTACTGTCATCCACATAGAGCACCTTGACGGGTCCCTTATCCCCGATCTGATAGGACACCTCGAAAGGATCAATCCAGACACTGAGGTCCTGAGGCAGGTTGTTGCGGACATCCTCAATGTCCAACCCACTTTCTTTGGCTGCTTTCTCTACAACTGGGTCCACTTTCTCCCCGACATGAATACACCTGAATCCAGACCCTTTGTATGGCTTGTCCGGGTACCAGTGTCCCTCATATTTCTGTTTCAGCTGTCGCTCCAACTCCTCGCCGAAGATGTTGACACGTCGCCTGGGCAGCTTATTGTACAAGTAAGAAATGATGAAGTTGAGTGCTACTTGGATTTCAAGCTGCATAGCTGCTGCGCCGCCCTGGAGTATCACCGTTGGCTGTTTGAATTCTCGTATTGTGTTGTAAGCCACCAGAGGGCAAGGCTCAGCTGGAGCCAGGCAAATAAACAGAAACTTGGGGAGGAACGGGTTGAAAACAAAGTGCTGTTGCAGAGGGAACGTCTCGGTCTACAAACGTCTGATCCGATTCCTAGAGAGGAGCAAAAAAAACAACTAGCGTGAATAACCCTGGCTTGTTATTCTCCGCTGGAAATAATTATTTTTTCTTAATAAAGAGTTCTTGAATGTTTTGAACAAACAGCTTGCGCATTCATGGGCTCACAACAAGCAAGATTAGATTTTGCATATGCATACACAAACAATCCCTAAAACCACGCTTCAATGCACTGGTTGAATTTTCCACACAAGTTAAACTCAAGACACCAAATTCTGTAGGTAATCCTATAAATGCAGTTTACCATTATAGGAAGGATGCACTGGGACTCGCGGAGCTGATAGTGTTATGTAATATTAAAAGATAGTGCCTATCTAACTTGCCCTGACTAGACCCTGCACAACTGTAACGTTAACCAATCCGCTGCTGTCGTCATAATCAAACTTTATCTTTAGCATGCCATCCGTGTTTGTAAAATTAGACACAAGAATGCAGACTTTAATAATTAAAGCTGAACGTGTCACGAGGAGAAATATAAACCAGTCAGCACGCGCACATAAGCGCACGACCGCCGATTAAGCAAATAAGGGGATGAATGCGCTCGGATCTTAAATCGAAAGATTAAAATGTTCGTATTAAGCGTTAGTTACCATATATAACATCGAAATATGTTTCGTTTGTATATTTAAATCGAGTGTATAAGCCGTCAGAGATCGTATCGTCGCTCCCACCCAGTTCACAGGGTAAAGCGACAGCGAGGACATAATGTACAGTTTGAAAACAGATATATCAGTCATGCATTAAATGCATCACACAAGGAATACAATTAAGACAAGGCAGCAGTATATGCTATATTCTGTGAAATACGAAATAGATATGCTGACAAATTGAATGCAGCCTATGTCATTGCCTATTATATGGCGTTTGTTCGTTTGCATTTCTATGTAAATATCGGATATCTTCTGGTGTAAGACGATGTTTTGCCATAGTTGGCAATATCTCCCAGCAAAGTCTACAGCCCACGACTGACGCAGCAAGCAGCCTTCATTTAAATTCTCTTAAGGTTTCACTTAACTATATTCCAGAAAACGCTTTTGCAACGATCAACACTATTAGTGAGCACTTAAAAAACAGGACACATCACAAACATAGTAATGCAATAAATTTAACACTTACTTGAGCTTACAAAATGACGGTTTTCAGTAGTTGCAATAGATTTAACTAGTGCAAAATAGAAAAAAATCTGATATAAATACTTTCTTCACATTAAGTTAAACATAAAGGTATTCCAGTTGGTAGACTTCTGAAATGTTTGTTTTTCTTCTTATCTTGCTCTCAATTTTCTGTAAGGTATTTGCAGTTTCACCTTCCCAATAAGCTCATCTCCACCCCCTCTATCTGGGTGTTTTACAATTTCGTCCCCTACTGCTGTCATCCGCCTCTATATATAGTTTTCCTCCGCCACGGGCACGCGGTGGGCGGTGATGCGGTTCCAAAGGTCACAACAATACGAACATCGAATCCACGCATGTGATTGGTCAGGCTTGAGCGTGAGGCGGGCTATAGCACTAACGCCCCTCGAGCCATTGGTTCACTTTACCATCAATCAAAAAAGGGGTAGATTTAATGCACTTACTTTGAGCCCGTCATAAAGGCTCTTTGACGTCACGCGTTACCTAGTACCACAAAAAAGACAGGCTATTCATGGAGGTATCGTATTTCATTTCCATGTTCATATTTCGCAAACATGACTGTTAAAGAGACATTTATGCCCCTAAGTAGATCAAATGACTGAATAAATATATGTCAAAGTAGTGAGATGACATGGGAGTAGAGCAAAGCTTTGATACAACCTTAGCTAATTTGTTTTTCACTATTTGTATGAATAAACGGGGAAAGGCTGCTATTGTCGAGGGGAAATCGCATTCGAAATTGAATTTCATGTGACTATAGACAAAGTATGTGTTTTGAAGTAAAGAAGCACAATCGAGGCGAGGTTTCCTTTTCCATAATAACCCTTTTGAATACATTTCCACGTTAGCAATGTTTTGTTACACGCATAGACGCACATATGGTACACGCATATAGATAGTATTACAAAAAAATAATGTCAAACAAGAAAATGGTTAATAAAACAATACAAAACCAACATGGTAATGATTTTGTCCCTGGTAGCAGGAGAATAAAACCTCTCGTTTTGTATTGGCTGCAGAACAGACAGGAGGTCCGCGTGCGTATGGTGCTGATTTCGTCATTTACGTCAGTGGGTTTAAAGGGATAGTTCACCCAAAATGATTTTTTTTTTTTTTTGATTACTTGGGTTTGTCAGGTTTTTCCAAATTTGTATGAGTTTCTTCCACTGAACACAAAATAAGATATTGTTGAAGAATATTGGTAACCAGACAGTTGACAACACCCATTGACTTCCACAGTAGGAAAAAAAAAAAAAAACCTCAAGTCAAGGGGTGCCATTAACTATCCCTTTAAACCAAAACATTACATTGAAAAATTGTCTGATTTTTTTCTTTTTGGTTTTTCTTTTTGCCAAATGCCAGGGGATATAAATTGCAGAATTTAGTGTTAAATTATTATTAATTATCAATTAGTTCTTTACCTTCGGTCATTTTAATGCTTTTCTGTCTGTGGGCCTTTTCATGCAGTGTATCTAATTTGGTTGACGTCACCGTTAGCTCAAATGAGGATCACACATCACATTATTATCTGCCCGGGCAACCAGCCTTAATGATGGGGATATGATGGGACAAGAATGGACCTGGGGTATGACTCAGTTCGACATCGCACTGATAGTGCACTCCCTGATATTTATACAGCAAACAACCTACCAAAAGCCAGTCATGTGTTTGTCTGGCCAGAGGATTGTAGTATGAAAGGCCATGGAGATAAAGCTTCACATGTGCCCGTCACTGTTTTACTTTGGTGTTAGAAGCGATACCTTCCATGGCAAATGGCTTCAGACTTCAAATGAAATCTAAATTAGTTTACAACTGCCTCACTGAAAAAAAAAACTTGTCTTCTTCACTCTTTGCAATTTCTGTTAGAGCTACAGTTCATTCAGGTATAGTCTACTAGCTTATATGAAATTCACTTTTAAGATACAGTCACTACTGGTGCAAAGAGTGATTCATTTTTATTAAGAAATGTATTAACTACACTCTAAAAAATGCTGGGTTGTTTCAACCCAAATTTGGATCAAATATAGACAAACCCAAATGTTGGGTTAAAAATGCAATTAAAAAAATTAAAAGTTGAAGTTGGGTTAAAATTTTAAATTGTGTTTTTAACCCAACATTTGGGTTTGTCCATATTTTACCCAAATTTGAGTTCAAATAACCCAGCATTGTTTAGAGTGTACAAATCACATTTATATTTCTTCTATAATCTTAAATATTGCTTTTTTTGCTGTATACTTTTGAAAATAAAAACAGATCTATCTCTCTATCTATCTATAATGTCTGGCTATCTATCTCTCTATCTTCACTCAAAAAAATGCTGGGTTGTTTAAACCAAATTTGGGTCAAATATGGACAAACCCAAATGTTGGGTTAAAATGTAATTTAAACATTTAACCCAATGGCTGACTTTGTCCATATTTGACCCAAAGATGGGTTAAAACAACCCAGCATTTTTTTCTATCTATCTATCTATCTATCTATCTATCTATCTATCTATCTATCTATCTATCTATCTATCTATCTATCTATCTATCTATCTATCATTTATCCATCCATCTATCTATCCCAGGAGAAAGAACGCACAGGTATTCCTCTTTTTACTAGCATATCCTATCAAATGTTATTTTTTTTTTGTTATGTTTTTCTGTTATGCCTGTTTTGTGTGTCTTACTGCAGATCAGGGAATGTTACGCTTTTAATCTTCTATATCTGCCCCTTTATACGCAATAAATCCGGTTTTATTATTATTAGAGGCCATGTCTCTGACGTGGAACTGAACACTGTAGCATAATAAGAACAGGGCTCATGTGTTTTTGTGCCTAATGGCCTGTGATTTTTCTGCCCCATTGCAGCTAGGAGAAAAGCAGCCTAATTTCCAGTGAAAAGCAAAGCTGAATTCTGTTCCCTGATTGGTTGCACTGTCGGTTCTTCATATGAGAGTCATGCCTAAACACACACACACAGAGAAAGTTTAGAAAATGTCTGTCTAACCTCAACTCTATCTCTCTAGCTCTCTAAGCTACCAATCTCAAATGAAGAACATTGCCGAGTGCTACGACTTAACATGGAGTTCAGAGGCGGGTTTGCACAACAAACAGATGTTCTTTGATGTCAGCTGCAGTGAGGGGGTGGCAAAAAATGGGAACGCTAAAAAGAAGTAGGAAGGTGTCAGAACTCTAATCACCATGCAGCGTTTGGAAAGAAAATCTATTATATTTCTTAGCACAAACACAGGTTTGCATATCATTAAGAATTCATTATTGCCTTGGCATGTCTTTTAGGATTACAAAGCTGACAGTGACCTGTTACACTGACCTTATCTTCTCTTTAAATAGGCTTTGAGTCACAGTTACAACGCCGGCTTGCTGATCCAGAGACAATGGATGGAAGGTAAATTACACAGGCTGTCAACCAAACCAATGTACAACTCCATTCGGGTGCATTATAAATTATGTAAAATAGCCTAACAGCAAGAAAATGGATGTGCCATTTGCTGTCACTTCAGACAATTTGTATTATGACATTTCAGGAACGCTTGGCCAATTACCCCGAATAGATCTATTGCATAAACTAAATAATAGTTTCCCTAGTTCCTCCACTTCAGCTATGTGATTTAGTTATTCATTAAACCAACCACATCACATGTGCAAAATACAACTCGGGATATGTACTCCATGAACAGCTCATTTAGGTTAGGATGTGTCAGCACTGTGTGTACGTTATAGACCCACACGCCATCAAAACCAGTAGTATTTACCAAAACAACAGCGTTTACACAACATGCCACAATGTATTTCCACTGCAGTCAGCCTTGTAGATATATGGTATTGTGGTGTAAAAGAAAACTGCTATCATATTACACTTTAATCAGACCTTCAGTAGCTGACTGACAATTCAACTGGTCAATTGCCCTTGTGTTGGAGGAACTCTCACACACATACTATCTCACACTGAGGGTGTGACATGTCAAGACATGTCGCCTCTACCATTGTGTAGGCTGAAATACAGTATTGTATCTTATCTTGACAATAAGAAAGAGGAATCCCCAATCAGTGACTGAATAGTTCATACAAAAATTAAAAATAATTTACTCACACTTTGCTCCACCATGTGACTTAAAGGAGTAGTTCACTTTAAAAAAAAAACTTTTGCTGATAGTTTACTCACCCCCATGTCATCCAAGATGTCCATGTCTTTCTTTCTTCAGTCTGAAAGAAATTAAGGTTTTTGCTGAAAACTTTCCAGGATTTTTCTCCATATAATGGACTTCAATGGGAACCAAACGGTTCAAGGTCCAAAAGACAGTTTCAGTGCAAACTGCAAACTGTTCAAAGGGCTTTAAATGATTTCAGATGATGAATAAGGGTCTTATCAAACGAAACAATCGCTCATTTAAAAAAAAAAAAAAAAACAAAGTTAAAGTTTTATAAGCTCAAATGGTCGCCTTGCTCTGTTCTGTGATGCGCGTTCGTGACTCTCGTGTTCAAACTCTTTTTTCGTGTCATTTGATTCATTCAACGAATGAAATGAACGAGTTGACTCGGGAAAAGATTCGTTCATTTTGATGAACGAGTTTGAATAGAAGAGTCACAAACGTGCATCACAGAACAAAGCAAGGCGACCATTTGAGCTTATAAAACTTAAACATTGTTATTCATCAATTAAATGAGCGATCGTTTCGCTTGATAAGACCCTTATTCATCGTCTGGAATCATTTAAAGCCCTTTGAACAGTTTGCAGTTTGCACTGAAACTGTCTTTTGTACCTTGAACCGTTTGGTTACCATTACAGTGCATTATATGGAGAAAAATCCTGGAATGTTTTCATCAAAAACCTTAATTTCTTTTCGACTGAAGAGAGAAAGACATGGACATCTTGGATGACATGGGGGTGAGTAAATTATCAGCAAAAGTTTTTTCAAAAGTGAACTACTCCTTTAATATATTACCAAAATTAAAAGAAAGGTTAGAACTGCTGTTTTCTGTACAATGGAAGTCAAAGGTGACTTTGACTTAAAATAATCAGGCAAGTGTACACATTCCATCTGAAATGAGCATATTCAGTTTTTCTGGTAACAAGTGGGTTTTTAACTTTTTTTTTTTTATGTCTTGGAAGAACATCTTGATTTATTTCCAAGAGCTTCCTGAAGACGATACAACTGTGTCATGTTGACACGTCTATGACTTCAATCTGCCATGTGGCTTTGTCTTTACTGCAGTTGCAGTTGCTCGCCCCGAGGCACTGTCATTTGAAGTTGAGAAAGAGCTGTAAGATGTGGAAATGACCTCTGAAGATCAAACAAGTATCCCTTTCCACTGTGTTACAAGGAAAGAGGAAGAAATGACATGCTGAGACATCAGTCCAGTCAAAAAAAAAAAAAATGCTCAAAGGTGTGAAGAGAGCGCCTCGGTTAGGAAGTTGCAGTGTGAAGGGGGCAGAGACGGAAAAAAGGAAGGGTGTGAGGTAAGACGGTTGACTCAAATCAGACGGCAGCAGAGGCCAGGCCTGGTCATACTCTATACAGCTCGAGGTTTTCTGGACCTGCTGTGCTTAGAGGGGAAAGCACGCCACATTCTGCTGCATTCCATCCACACATGTCTCAAATCAGCACTGGACACCAGCTCCAAATCAGAGTTTAAGCCAGATAATGTGAAGTTAGCAGATGAAGGAAAACTGGGAGAGGATCATAAATGGCTTTTAAATAGTACTAAAACTTTACCCCATATCCACTGACAGAGCTCTATCCAATCTGGCCATATTATGCACATTTTCTACAAAAGGTCGTTCTGGGCTGAAAACATTTGGATTAAAAGTGAAGTGTGTCTGAAAATACCTATTTGTTTTGCTGCTGCCACTAAAAGGATTTTATTTGCAGATATTGATTGCTATGAATTTAAATAACTTCATGCCATTCCATCAAAGCTAGCTTGTGATGCCATAAGTTGCTGAACTACATTACACAAGATTTCAAAACTAGGGCTTGTAAGACTTGTAAACAAAGAAAGTGATGCAACCCCTTTTTTATTTAATTTTTTTTAGGTAGTAATATGCAATGTTTTGGGCTAATGCTGAGAGAGGCTGGGTCAACCACCACCATTTTAGGAGAAAAAAAAAGTTAAACGTGAAAAACATTTCAAAGTAACTGAGTTATAAGGAAAGTTATGAGTGAAAAAGCTCAGAAAAATTAGAGCTGGAATTGATGACAACAGCCCTTGAGATGAAAACGGACAATGAAGAAAGAAAACAGACAGGAAGGGAGCATTTTCAGTTTGTCTCAGCACTGAAATTAAATTAGTATTCATGGCAGAAGGACAATCCATTGAAACCAGATGCACCTAAACTTACCCACCTCTTTTAAAAATGCAGTTTTCATTTCCTGCTACAAAGTTCGCCAGTATCTCTTTGAGCTTGGCCTGAGATGAAATGGCTTGGGGTGCTAGCATGCTAAGCTGCGTTAGATGTTTACTGAAAGAGAGTCTTGATAACTTTACAGTAATGTGTGTAACATTTCTCAACAACGGTTTCTTGTCTTGTATACACAGAGCCTCTTTTACAGTTTGGTGCATATTCGTGCATTGCGGCTATTTTTAGCTTTAATGTGCTAGTAACAACTGTAACCAATAAGCTAAAAAATAATTCAAATTTTCTTTTGGAGTTGTGAAAGAAAGACTGTTGCTTTGCTTTCAGAGATGCATGCTTTGATGTCGCCAAAGAGGAAACTTACTTTTCCCTGACATTTATTGTTTCAGAGCATACCTGTGCAAGACATTTACACCTCATAACAAGAATACCTGGCATTCTGACAAATTTCCCCACTGTTCTGAGGTCAGATTAACATGAAATCTCCCCGGCCCCCTTCTCATTATTCCAACTCTTAAATTACACACACTTCTGTCTCCTACAAAACAGAGACCTTTGCTGCTTTTCCATGCTGTAAGCACCCAAATTAATGGATTTATGCATGCATGGATGGATGGATTTCTATCCTTTATTTCTCTTCCACGTGTCTCCTATTGTGCAAGCTGTGGATATTTCTCAACACTTCACCAGACAATTATTCAATTCTTGCAGACATTAATGAAGCAAAATATTGAAGAACAATCTCAGTACTGTTATATTATAACAGCTATCTAGTGACACTGTAGCTAAAGGACTCGGTTCAACATAGCATGTTTGATGCAGTTCAGCAACTATGCATCATGTGAAAATGGTCAGAACCAAAGGCACAATGTCCAGGCGCAATGTTTACAATACAAAGTGGCCTCGGGACTCTCTGAAATGTGCTACAGGGTCACATAGGGCTGATGTAGTGAATGCTGATGAGAGGAGGCTGAATTCTGCTGTCTGTGTGAGGTCACCAAGCTGGGTGACATTAGCAGATGGGGATGCCCGGTTACCTTGACCCCAAAGACCAGTCAACATGCCTTTTTCAGTTCTCCTGTCAATCATGTTAGAAGACCATTGCTCAATCATCCCTACCAAAGGCCCTCCAAACAACCAAATAACCGTCACGCTAGCAAAATCACAGAATTAATGTTAAACAAGCAGTGTTTCCCCTAAACAGGGAGGTTCCCATTTCGAGAGAGTAAATGAAATCACTACACCTTAACAGAACACAGTTGGAGCGTATAGGATTTCTTTGCCGATTCAAAACAGCACAGATCAGTCTGTGCTGCAAGGAATTGACTAAACGTTCCTTTGTGTGAGGAAGTAATAATTTGGTTATTCTGGTTTCATAAAAAGGGAACATTTTTTTTATTTATTTATAATTTTCAAACAGGGAGTGCACTGTAAAAAAAAAAAAAAAGTTGTTGCCTTACATTTTTAAATACAATCAACTTGGATGTTTAAGTCATTTCAACCTAAATTACTGACTTGAATCTTGTATAACTTGAAAGCTTGAAAATTGCAGAACTTATTTTGATGAGTTAAAGCAATGTAGGCTACAAAAAATACATAGCCAAAATGTTTAATAGTTTGGCTTTGAACAGGTTAAAGTTTAAAGACATTTAGGTCATGCACGCTCAATGACGAGTTTATTTGTTAATGTTTGATTCTAAAGTCTACCAGCGTCACAGGAGACGTCCCATCCATGTCAGTCTTTCCACAAGGCTATTTCCTGTTTGTCTAAAGTGCAGGCTCTATCATCAGCACAAACACAAATACCAGCCAGAAAACTCCAATCCTGTTTGGAAGCAGTGATGTCAAAGTCACCATGGCAACTGCTCTTACAAATGATGTCTCTTCATTTTACTCTCCTCTTCTGCTTTTGTCCATGTGGCATTCAAGTGTAATATCTTTTTGTCACAATGCTCGGGCATCTATGCTCCAGTGCCAAGGACACAGAAAGGGAATAACCTGACCTTTTGCAGCACACCGAATGCAAGAAGACAGGAAGGTCAGGAGGTGTGTTTCTGGGATTTGAATGGCCATTGTGGATGCGGCTGTGAGTGACTTTGTCACTTACTCATGCCATTTTTTTGTATTCTGGAGCTTTTATGGAACTCCTTTTAATGAAGAATCACTGGAGCTGCAGTAAGGAATAAAAAAAAAAAAGTTCAGATAAAAATGAATACTGTCATCACTCTTGTCATTCCAAACCCAACTGACTTTCTGCATGGAACACAACAGTAGATGACAAGTATCCACCCAGCTAACAGGGAGCGTTCTCCGAAGAACTTTGGCTAACGTTCTGGCAAGGTTCTCAAAGTTGTGCACAAACTTTCTTCCAGTAATATTAAAGGAACATTTGTTCAAGGTTCTCTGTTCTTTAATAACATTCTCAAAATGTTAGCCCAAAATTTGTATTTATTCATCATTCAATGGAAGTTTTTTTTCTGAAATGTTTTGGATTTTGGGCTTCTATTTTTTTTTTTTTTTTTTTTTTGTACTACTTTTTTCAGAACATTGAGAAAACATTCAAAAAATAAAGTTGCCAAAATGATAACCAGAAATGTGCAAAACCAAGAACATTTAAACATTTGAAATACTGAAGGTTTAGAAAAATAACGTTTTCAGAACATTGGCAAAATATTCTTAGAACATTTTTTTTGTTACCTGCTCATACTGCTCTTTTCTACACTCTTAGAAAAAAGGCTTCTATATATATATATATGTAGCATTGGGTTCTTTACTCAACTCCAAAGGACATTTTATGCTAAAAAAGGTTCAATAATGACAAGAAAGAACACTTTTGGCACAAAAGTTCTTTATAGGCTATTATTCATCACATATTACATTATTCTGCAACATTTTGTAGTTGTAATTAAATTATTGTTTATTAAACTGTTGTAGTACTTAATTTCACATTTTAATCATGCAGATTTTTGGAGGATAAAATCTGAAATGGCACTACATTTTTTAACCCTCATATCTTGAATTTTGTGATCATTCACATACATTACATTTTAAGGGTTCCAAATACGTAGCGCTTTAGAACCTTTTAAGGTTCTATATAGAACCTTTTCTTCTAAGAGTGTATGCTATTTGAGTGAATAATGAAAAGTAGAGTAGCTTGGACATTCTGCTAAATACTCAGGAGGAAAGATGGTCATTAAGGTTTGGAACAGTGAGTCAATTATGCCACAATGTTCATTTGTGGCTGAAGTTTCCCTTTAAACAACCTCTTAGTTCCCAGCTGTACAGCTGATTATTGGAAATACAATGAGCAGGAGCCGAAAGACAAGACATGATTGAAACGGATGAGTGCGATTGCCATGGTAATAGATGAAGAGTGTGAGCAATACATACAAATTCAAAGACTTTCAGCAAGACAATGCAGACAGCCTCTCTTTCTTTAATAGACGCCAGCCACCTGGTTCACACTGCAGTATTTATCTGATTTTGAAATGACTTCAAATCAGCAGAAAAATCTGTTTAGATGAGGCAGAGCGCAAGTGGAAATGTAGGTGATATTGCCTATTTGCACAACCAGATGCCAGAGACAATTTGTCAAAACAACATCTGACTCATGCCTTTAAGCTCTGTTCCAGAACCTAGTGGGCTGCCCTAACTTTTTACAACTTCATAATAATGTCAGCTAACTGTGCAATCGGCTCATTAGGAAAACATGCCTCTACCTGTATTATTCTCAAATATTTGCCAATACATACAATTCCCTGCTATTTCCAGCTGGAATGAACACTATTGGCAATAAAACACCACCAACCTTTATTCCTTTTTTTATTCCTACAGTGTATATTATATTAGTAAAGACTTATTTTACTGTAATTCAGATCTTCTGTAACAAGCGAAATCTACACATCTCAATTCTCCAGCGGCCGCCAGATTTGTCGTAAATGAATTCAACCCAAGCGCTCTTTGGTGATATGGATGATTACGTTACTGTTGATCATCTGCCCATCATCATATAAAGCCCACTCTTGACAATTAACAATTTGATTGGTCCGAACAGCTCTGGTTCCAGACCGAACTTCTCGACATCAAATGTTGTGGGCAGGCCTATACGTTTGGCTGGCATCCAGACTTTAATATAGCATAGTTGCCTTAGCAAATGCATTTTCATGCAATATATTTGTTAGCATGCTGCTAAATAAGGACTACAACTGCCACAAGGCTGTGCGTTTACATGCTTGGGAAAATAAATACAAGCTTGTTAGCAACAGATATGACAATGTGCACAAATGAATGTTGCTTGATGTCACTGAATATGGCAAGGTGAAATATATTTGGTCTTGGCGGACTAGATCTGCCTCGCTGCTGCAGAGAAAGTGGACTTGCTACTGCTAATAGATACACAGACACACTGCTATGAGCATGTAAGATCTGTTACTGCTGCTGCATAGACGTGCATAAATCCTGTAGCATATGTAGACAGGTGGAGCTGGGGAGGTG